GCAGGAGCCTGCAGGGGCTCGAGGTGCTATGTAGGCCGCTATCCACTTGTCGGCTGTGTTCACGAGGAGGAGGGATACAGCCTTCTCCTTCCAGGCAGGCCTGAGGGATGAGTGCATTCATTCTTCCAGGGCCCCTGGCTGTCTTTGGAGTTGAAGGAGTTGAGGCCTGTGGGCTGCAGTTGACTCCTGCAGGGCCCTGGGGACCAGGAGGGGTGCCTTTAGGGTTGCATTGCAGAATGCTGAACGTTGAGCAGCACCTCTGTTGCAGTTTTACAGTTAATGTGACTAAAATAAGCTCCATGTTGAATATGTGCTTACTTCTGTAGACAGGGAAGCTTTTAGAAACTTTACTCTTCAAGGATGTGTTTTTGTTTCAACTTTAAGGCAACTTCATGAGAATGAACTACTTTGGAGTTTTGTAACTTTTGTGACCGAGCATTAAAGCAATGTGAAGACAGGATCTTTGTTTAAATTAAGTCAGTAAGAGGCCATTTAATTAAAATTTGATCAACTAAGTGGTACAGTTAAGGTCACCCCAAAGATAAGATCTAGGAATATCAATGTTTGTAATAAACTCCATCAAAAAGCTTTATTTCTGTCCTAGAATTTAAGATAAGAGAATTTCTGGTTTAAATGATCAAACCCAGACTTAGGGACAGCTGAAATGTTAGCCTATGGGAGTAGGTTAGGAGACTTTCTTCCAGGGCCAGCAGGTGGCATGGTGGTTAAGGCATTGGATTTCCACATGGCTGACCGCAGTTTGAGTCCCAGACCCGGCAGCTTGAAAATCACACCAGGCGAGTGTACATGCATGCCCAAAATTCTGAGGGGAGAATGGAGGAGAAGGGATTGCAGTATGGCCATCCCTAATGAGGAGTGGTTTCTCACTTGACCGCTCTCTGTCTGTCTCCAGCAAGGGCTTGCATTTTATGACAAAAATTTATTAAAAAGAGAAAAAAAAAAGAATTTTCTCTGAAAAAAAAGAAAATAATGCTATCCATTTTTCTGAATTTTTTGAAACTTCAACTAATGGCAAACGGCACATTTATCCCACAATACTCCATATTTTAGAAACTAGAGATACCATAATGTGTTCTAGAAATGAACAGAAAACACTGTCCTCACCCCCAGCATTGTTAGTGGGAGATTTAGGAAGACAACAGGAACTGTAGGGAGGGGCAGGGAAGTCGGCTGAGGGTGAGCGATTATGCCTGCTGTTTCCCATACACCTTTGGCCTCAATTTCTTAATCCAGAAACTAAGGATAACATCCACCTCCCATGCATGGTATTATCTTACTCTGTATATGTAAAACTTAGTGCTTGACATCAAAGAGTTATGGAGAAATGGAATTTCAAAAAGTCGAAATCCATGCATAGGTTTTCCCCGATACCTGTTTGCCATGGACTTTTTGGAGCTGCCACATGTGGTCAGTTACTACCAGTGATGTTGTTAATATACTCGAAAATACAGTTAAAGCAGGCGAGAAACTCTTACACATGCGGGTGATGTCTGCTGCTTTTCTTAGGTTTAAGTATTTTTTTTTCTATTTTCTGCAATGTGCTTATATACATTTTTAAATAATTATTAATTTTTACTTATTATTATTATTATTTTTAATTTGTTGTAGGGCACATGCACTCACCAGAGAGAGACACAGAGAGAGGGAAAGTGAGAAAGCGAGCCATCAGGTTCAGGACTTGAACTGTTCCGACCATCTGCTGGCCCATCTATTTTTTTTTTAACTTAAATTTTTAATTCTAAAGAATGTGATAGCTCCATACCAGGCGGGTGCGGCCTTCCACAGGAAGTCTGTGCCCCCATACTCCCCCTCGCCCGGCCACTTCATTCAGGACGCCTATGAGCAGATTCGAGCCTCAGTGACAGTATCGCAGAGGCTGGAGTCCTGTGGGCTCTGTCTGATCCCAGCCCAGGGTGGTGCCACCAGCTTCTGGTTTGGCCCGAAATAGAGGGAGAGGATGAGTGAAAGTACGAAGAAAGAGTGGACCGGCGAGTTCTGCAGGACGTTTGTGTGGGTGGGCTGCAGACAGGCCTGCCTGCGAGTGGGGATTGGCTGGGAGGGGCAGTTGGGACAGGTGGGGTCAGTATATTACGGGTGAAGGTGGGAGCCATTTAGATGGGTTTGATCTGGGGGGACTGCACGAGCAGCACTGTGGTGACAGTGACACCGAAATCATAACCCTCGAAGAATAACAACTCGGGTTTTGTAGGAGGTGTGCACACTCCTTCCCGCCTTTGTGTTTGACCTTGAAGAAGATTGAAAGTGAAAAAGGACTATGGTGAGAATCACATTGCAAAACAAAACAAAACAAAAACCCCAACTTGTTAAAAGCCTCACATGCTTATTTTTGCAGTAAACATGTGGACTAGAAGATAGAAATGTCTACAGAGTAGAAGCTTAAAATCACTTAAAATTTGAACATAACATTGGTTTTTACCTCAGTTCATGTTCTCCAGAGAGTGAATCCATTTACAGATTTTCTGTTGGCACCAAAAAGATGACTCAGGCTTATGTAGGAAGGAGAGCCTGTTGCACACAAATGGCCTTGGGTTGCCAAGTTCTCATTTTTAGCTTCTGGGCTCCAGTCAGAAATGGAAGCCCAGGCTCCTTTGTTCTGCATATGTGCAGGTCAGTAGGCCACCCCGGGGACCCTCAGTCCTGCAAGCCAAGAGTTAGCGTGGCCTACAGTGCGCCCACTGGTGGCTTGTGTATGGCAGACATGCCTTCATCAGCTGATTTCTTTTCTTTTTTTTGAGAGGTTTTTACTATAGGGTGCATGTGCTTGCCAGAGAGACAGAAAGTGAGAAATCACCCCCCAGGGAGGATGGCCACACTATAACCTCTTCTTCTCCATTCTCTTCCTGGAATCTTGGGCACGCACACACACACACCTGGTGTGAGTTTAAGCCACCGGATCTGGGACTTGAACCACGGTCAGCTACATGAGAGTCCAGCGATGTAGCTATTACACCAACTGCTGGTCCCAGCCAGCTGATTTCTAATTGTGTGGTTTAAAAAATGGGAATCGAGGGACCAGCAGATGGCATAATACTTACGTCACTGGACTCCCACATAATCAACAGTGGTTCAAGTCCTGGAACCTGTGGCTTGCATACGCCATCTGTGGCTTGAAACTCACACCAGGCACACATGCATGCATGCCCAAGATTCTGAGAGGAGAACAAAGGAGAAGGGATTGTAGTGTGGTCATCCCCTGGAGGTGGGGGTGATTTCTTGCTTTCTGTCTCTCTATCTCTCTCTGTCTCTCTAGCAAGTGCACACACCCTATAACAAAAATGTCTCTTAAAAAAAATAAAGGGAATTGAAATCAAGATCTAGAGATTATGGAAACACAGAGGGCCAGTGCGTGCAATATAGCCCTGGGCGCTTCTCCCAGCTTCGGTAACTTGTAGGAGGCTGTGTTTTAGAGAGCATTGTCCAGGTTCTTAGAGGGGAGCCCCTGCTCACCTTCCCCTGCCAAGCCTCCTCTTTCTGCCCCTCTGCAGAACGTGTATGTCAATATAAACCGCATCATGTCGGTGGCCAATCGCCTGGTGGAGTCCGGCCACTATGCCTCCCAGCAGATCAAGCAGATCGCCAACCAGCTGGAACAGGAGTGGAAGGCGTTCGCGGCCGCCCTGGATGAGCGGAGCACCTTGTTGGACATGTCCTCCATCTTCCACCAGAAGGCCGAAAAGGTCAGTGCCTGGAACCGCCGGCCCACCAGTGGTGGCCAGAGGGCGTCCCCTCCTGTGATGTCGCTAGGTGCCCCAGATCCTTCAGGCATTCATATAGCGCTCGCTCAGCCAGGGGTTTATATCCCAGCCCGCTTACTCCTTGCTGTGCAACCTTAGGCAAGTGAGTTACCCTTTCTGTCCTTTAGTTTTCTCATTTGTAAAGTAGAATAAAAGTACGCGCCCACTTGGGAGGACTGTTTTACTGTGGAAAGGTGACCATTTGTGTCAGGTGTCCTCGAGGTGCCTAATTGCTAATAAGGTGTAGTTTTCTCCTCCACTGCCTCCTCCCTCTCCTTCTCTCCTTTTCCTCAGGACTGTTACCTCTTTTTTATTCCAGCTAGGGTGCTTAGGGGACAAGTGGCAGAATGCTTGGCAGTGTTTTAACAAGCAGTTGCTTTTCTCACAAAAGTAGAAGGTGCGAGGTATAGGCACTTGCAACTGCACACAGCCATGTCAGGGCTGGCGGCTTCTTCTCTCAGACCTGCTTGGCCCCCGCTCAGGGTCACAAGCTGTGTGCTCCCCAGTGATAGCGTCCACCATAGGTGGGGATAGGTAGGTCACCTGTCACTGCCAGAGAAGCATTGGTCTCAGGAGGTCCCTCCACCCAGCACACTGCCCCCAGGTTCCCACCAGCCCAGGCTGAGATGCAGCCCCCATGCCCTGCTGCAGGGGTGGGGGAGGGCAGGTCCAGCATTTTAGCCTCTGCAGTCTTGGGGAGGGCCTGCCAGCAAGGGCCAAGGTGGAAAAAAGACTCTGAGGTAGGCAGTTTGCAGTACCTCTCATGGCTGAGTTTATTTCCATGGGTCTGACTTCTCCCTTTGCTGCTGTGCTGTTTCAGAAGGTCTCATTTCAGAAGTCAGATGCCGCGTGTGCCCACGACACTCCCCACACTGCCCCTCAAGCAAACCTGCACACACACACACACACGGTGAAGGGACAGAAGGAGTCCAGGCCTCAGTGGAAGTGGTGTGCTGTGAGGCGAAATGTCTCTGTGAGGTGTGGGGAAGAACCCCGGGGACTGCCAGCTGCTGGGAAGGCCGGTGCACAGGGAGAGGCAAAGGGCTGCTCTATGCGAAGGGAAAAACTGCACAGGGATTTGCACTGATGCTTCTCAGAAAGCAGCAGTGTCTCGTCATTCTAGAACAGTCTCCGTTGAAGGACGAAGTCAGTGAAGGGGCGACAGAGGCCCACAGAATGGTGCCCAAGATGCTAACTAGCTGGTGATCCAACTCTGGAAACCTTTAAAGTGTGAAGCCAGAGAAGACACTGAGTGAGACAGAGAAACCCAGTGTGTCATGTGACACTGGGGGGGACTTCCAGGTTCAGGGGTCATGGCTTCTGCTTTCTGACCTTGCGCATGAGAAACACAGAAGCCCACACACAAGCACAAGCCCTTAAAGTCCCAGGAACCTGGTTGGGTGAAATAGCAGTGTCCCCATGACTGCCCCCCCCCACCCTCCTCCAGTGGCCATGTATTCAGTCATTCTATTATTCGGCTATTAGAGATGTCACGAATAAACCTGAAGTAGGACGGGCTGCCCGGGGGAATGCCATAACAGAATAAAACTCTCTCCCGTGAACACGGTGGGATTTAGGACTGTAATTAAACCCAGGAGAGTAATTGCTTCTCTGACCTGCCGGAAGATAATCTAGAAATGTGGGTGTTGTGGGGTATTTTTCTGCCTGTTATTATCAAACATCTCAAATACGTAGCAAAGCTGAAAGAGCCTGGGATATTTTGGAGGGGCAAAGGGAGTCATAACAAATGGCGGTAGTTTATGAATTTGGAGAAAACTAAACTCAAATAATACATTACTGAGCAGAATTTCATAGGATCCTGCATTAACTCCAATGGTGTTTGAGGTCTCGTGCATGTCAAGTGGCCAACTAGGAGCCCAGGGTCAGACGAACCTGGCAAGGGGCCAGCCTGCACTCTGGACCTGTTCGACAAGTCCTATACCTTGATCACAGAAGTGAGCTGGTGGGGGGCCAGCAGGTGGCCTGGTGGTGAGGGTGCTGGACTCTGACATGTCCAGCTACGGTTCAAGTCCCAGACTTGGCAGTTTACTTTCTCATTTTTTTTCACTCTGTCTCTCTCTGGTGAGTACATGTGCCCGATAGCAAATGAAAAATAATAAATAAAATTAAATGGATGATTCTTTAAAAAAAGGAAGGCAGGAAGGAGCTGGTGGAGCATGAGGCTGTCTTTACAAAGTGCTCCCGTGCTTGCAAGTGAAAATGGGTTTCTTCCTCCTCACTGCACAGAGTAAGGGCCTCGAGCTTCTGGTGCGTGAAGAAGACCCCATCTGCCGAGTAGCTTCCTGGTCCCAGGAGAGCCATCACAGGCTAGCCGGCCTCCTGCCTTCTTTCTAATGCTATGCCTTCTAGTTGGCTGGAGCTGTTGCATAAGCACAGTCTGGAAAGTGTCAGAAACTGGGACATCGTAAGTTACATTTCCATCTTAGCCGCACCCCCAAACCCCATCCAGAGGTTTAATGAGGAATTTAAATCGGATGGGGGATGCAGGGCTCAGATCTGTGACCCGGCGTTAAGGATCCTACTAAGAGAAGCAGCCCTCTCTTGAGGATTGCAGTCTTAGCCAAGCAGCCCGCCCTGCCCCGCCGTCTCTGCGGTGGCATTTGCTTATGGCTTTCTAACATGAATCTTAGAACTAGATGAGATGGGGCCAGCAGGTGGCGTAGTGGCTATGTCATTGGATTGCCACATGGCCAGCCATAGTTCAAGTCCCGGACTTGGTGGCTTTAAAATCATGCCAGACACGTGTGTGCATGCTCAAGCTCCCAGGAGGAGAATGGAGAAGAGATTGTGGTGTGGCCATCCCCCCAGGGAGTGATTTTTTTTTTTTGAGAGTTTGTTTTTTGTTTTTTTTTGCTATAGGGCGTGTGCACTCACCAGAGAGGCAGAGAGAAAGAAAGCGAGAAATCACCCCCCAGTGGGATGGCCATGCCGCAGTCCCTCCTCTTCCATTCTCCTCTTGGGATATTGGGTACGCATGCACACACGCCCAGCATGAGTTTAAGCCACTGGGTTTGGGACTCGAACCACGGTCAATTATGTGGGAGTCCAATGACATAGCCATTACTCTAACTGCTGGTCCCCCCCCACCCCCCGCCAGGGAGTGATTTTTCACTTTCCCTTTCACTCTTACAGTCTCTGTCTCTCTCTGGCAAGGGCACGCGCCTTAGAGCGAAAACCTCTACAAAAAAAACAGAATTAGACAAGAATGGTGTTTCATGGGCATTTTGCCTTCCAAAGATGCCTCTGCCCTTCTCTTGCATGTCCTTGGCTCCAGCAAAGGCCGTGCCATCCGCGCGTCAGTCGGCAGATTGGGGACCTGATCGCGGTATTTTGATCTCGCCACTACCTGTTGTTAGGGGCTCCAGCTTGCACGTTTCTTGGTCATGTGGTGTATCTGCAGAAAGTTCCTTCATGCTGAGAAGCTTCCTCAGCAAAAATTGTTAGAATTACATTTTTTTCTTTTTCTTCTTTTTAGATTTTTACTGTAAGGCATATATGCTCACCAGAGGGACAGAGAGAGAAGAGAAGTGAGAAACCACTCCCAGTTGGACTGGCCCTGATGTGGTCCCTTTTCCATTCTCCTCTCCAGGTTTCGGGCATGTTCATGTTCACACACACTAAAATATGTATCTATATTAGACATTATATAATATTATTATTATTAGGAGCTGGTGGTTTTATCACCCTGATATTGTATGGGGGCTGATATTAACTATTCCCAAAGCCGCAACTTGGACTGAGGTCTGTGGCTTAATCTTAGGTTCCTGACACTAACAGTAGACTGCTTGTACTTTACATTCATAGTCTAGTAAGTTTTCACTTTCCATAAAACATTTTAGAAGTAACATTTACTGTAGAAATGACTTACACACAACATTGCTTGTCGGAAAAGTCATGATATTTTTCTGTATTTTTGTATGCAGAAATGCACCACGACTTTTCTGATGACCCACTAGTTTTAATTTGGATAATTTTATCAAATGAGTAAGTTGAAGTTCAGAGGAAAATAATAAAAATATTGTTTCAGTATGCCCTTTCAACTTTCTCAGGAAAATAATACACGTGCTCCCATTTTAACCATGTTTCTCTCTGTATACTTTTCTCAGGCAAGGTTTTATTAAAATCACAGGCCTGATTCTTGGCTTGTGATAAAAGCAAGATTCTCCTGGAAGAGAAAGGCATTGGGGTAACAGGTGTGTGTGTGTGTATAAAGGATGCTCATGAAGACAGTGACCTTTGGCATAGTTGGCTGTCTTCAGACTGAACCCGTCTTTTCAGAGTTTCTCTGTTGGTGTCAGGTGGAGTCAGATTCACAAGTGGAAATGATGAAAGAAAAAGGAAAAAATAGGGTCATATTTTCTAGAAATGGGAACAGAAAAATGTAGAAATTGGAAAGAAGAAAGGAAAAAACTCTGATGTTTGAATTCATATGTACATATAATATATTTTTCAACTAGTCTCACATTTTCCAAAGAGAAATAAATCCTTCTGCTAAGTTCCCACCCCTTTGTCTCCTGGGGCAGGCTGAGCACCTGTGCGCAGTTGAGCCTTCCTCATAAGATGAGATGGGTGAGAGGAAACTGCACCAGCCCCCCAGGCCCCACTGTGGGCGGAAAGGGGTGGGCAGAGTAGGTGAGCCCACTCCCGTAGCCAGCCAGGACCGTGTGCACACCCCTAGCGTGTTCAGGAATTGCTAGATCCAGGACTTGAACCCAGAGCCTTCCCATATGGCTCTGGCGTAGCCTAGCAGTGCCCTACTGGCTACACCACTGTGGCTGGGCTTAATAGTGATTTTGATCTGGTGATACATATTACGGTGCTATATTAGCAGTCTGACACCTCTGCTCACTGAATGTGAAGTATATAAGTAAAACGTGTCTTCACCTGTTCTATCAACATTTTTCTCTCTTAAGAACATATTGTAACTCTTTGTTTTGGGTGTTGGTGATGACCATTGTCCAAGAGCAATAAGCTGTTGACTTGGACCTAATGATTTTTTTTTTTTTGGAGAGGCTTTTTGCTATAGGGCACGTGCGCTTGCCAGAGAGAGAGAGACAGAGAGATGGAAAATGAGAAATCACCCCCCAGGGGGGATGGTCACGTCGCAATCCTTTCTCCATTCTCCTCTCGGGATCTTGGGCATGCATGCACACACATGCGGCGTGAGTTTAAGCTACCTGGTCCGGGACTCGAACCACAGTCGACTATGTGGGAGTCCAGCGACATAGCCATTAGGCTAACTGTTGGTCCCAACCTAATGATTTCTTCACGATGATGGTTAACCTCAGTCAATGTCTGAAAAATGTTTACAATAATTTAATCATTGGTATTGAATCCGTAGGGAAGAAAGTAGAATGAAACAGAGCTCAAGAATATTTAGAATTATCCATCCTGACCTGATGTTGGTAAAACCTCCCACCCCAGAAATACTTAGGAACGTGCCTGCATAGCCATATGTACCAGAACCACCTGCCTTCGGGCGGCACTTACTGCCCTGTGAATTGGTTTCGAGCCCCTGAAGTTTCCATATAGCTATTTTTCTGAGCCAATGCATTAATAACGAAGGGATTTTTAGCAAACAGTTATTACTTAGTGACTCGTTGGTGGAAAGCGGTCTCCTTATATTTTAGAAGAACGACAGCGCCTTCCCTGCCCCGTGCTCATTCTGGATTAGCCATTCCCTGTGTTCCCTGCCAAGTGCAAAGACGTGGGAGGGGCCAGCATGAAAGGTTAAAACCCAGGGAAACGTGTGGCTGGCTCTTCAGCTTAATTGAATTAGCCTCTTCAGGTGGGGCTTCTGCGCCTGCCTTTACACTCAGCCGTGACGGAGTCTGCTAGGCTCACCCTAGGAAAGTTGGCAGTGATCTATGTTGACTGATGACTCCTGGAGACGTGGGTGGCTGTGGAGAAAATTGGGGCGAGATTGGAATGGTAGCAGCTGCCAAGACTGTTAGCGTGGCTCAGATTTTCTTATTTATGTGCAAATTGGGAAAGACCTGAATAGCTCAGGATCCGCTGCTGCCTCATGAACCTGCAGAGGTAGCCTCCGAGAACTTGGGGCACTCTTATACCCGGTCTGCTTTAATCCGTCTGTTAATTTCCCGGGCTGGCTGATCTTCCTCATGTTAGGTAAATGATTTCAGCTATCTTGGGTATCTGCATTAGCATTTTAATGTAAGAGGAACAAGGTGAGGCTGAAGAACAGATCTGAGAAGCCACAGGCCACCATGGTTAAGTCTGAGAGAGGCTCAAGGAGGGTCTTCTTCATGCTCTGCATTGCTAAGCGTGCAAGGCCACGGAACAGGTCCACTCACAGGTGTTCGGGAAGATTAGCAGACAGAGCAGGGCAACTTTGCCCTGTGAGTATGCCTAGACCCTGGGCCTCTGTCATATGAAGCGTTCACTTAAAGTGCAGGTTCCTGGGCCTCAGTTCTGCCCCACCTAATCTCGGAGAGTGGAGCCAGGAATCAGGGTTGAGAACTCAAGAGTAATGCTGTTTGCTCTAGAGAGTCGGCTGTTACCTTCTTAGCCTCTCCCTCGATCATGCTAATTTTCCGAACCCTGTTTAAAATTTCCCACTTCTCGCTATAAGCTGTCACTGGTAGAAATAACCTCTTTCCTTTCTGTGACCCTTCCAAGTACATGAGCAACGTGGACTCGTGGTGTAAAGCTTGTGGCGAGGTGGACCTTCCCTCGGAGCTGCAGGACCTGGAAGACGCCATCCACCACCACCAGGGAATCTACGAGCACATCACCCTCGCGTACTCGGAGGTGAGTGGTCCACAGCAGTTAGCATGATGGCTGTGTTGCTGAACTCCCATGTAGTCGACTGCGGTTCAAGTCCCGGACCTGGTGACTTATACTCTTGCGTACTCGGAAGTGAGTGGGCCACTCTGCTGTAAGAATATTACAAAGCAGCCTTGTTTTCGCACTGTGGCACTGGAAACTAGGGGGAAAAACAAACTTTTGGTTAGCTCAGGAAAAACATCTAGATTTAGAGTTAAACGTGCAGGTTAAGTAGGGCTGGCAGGTGGCATGGTGGATAAGGTGCTGGTCCCCCCACGTGTCCCACGTTTGTTTGAGTCCTAGACCTGGCAGCTTGCTTTTTTTTTCTTTCCCTTTCTCTATGGCTCTCTCTGGTCAAATTAAAAAGTAATAATAAAGTAATTCTTAAAGAGAAGTGCAGGCTAGTTGTTGAGTGTTTGAACTCCTACATGTGTGTGTTGGGGAGTGTCAGGTGAAGTAGGGTGGGGCAGCGGGCACTGTTCACATCCCTGTAACATTTATAGATTTGATTTAGTTTAAAGTGTTTCTATCTTTATCTGCCATAAATAAAATCTCAATCTCCCTGTCTACGTGTTTTTAAGGAATGCATGTTTTAAGGATCAGCAGGTGGTATGGTGGTTGAGGGCACTGGACTCCCACATGGCCGACCACAGTTTGAGTCCCAGACCTGGTGGCTTGCTTTCTCACTTTCTGTCTTTTTCTCTCTGTTCCTCTCTGTTTAAAGTAAAATAAATAAATAAAATCTTTTTAAAAAAGAAAGAAATGTATGTTTTGTATTCTAGTCAGTCTACTCAAACTCAGTTTAATCCTTCTGAATGTAACTTTCTGCAGCCTTGTGGATTGCAAAGAACACGTTTGAGTATGTAAAGCTCTTTGCTGTCTGTTTTAGAAATCTCAAGTGTAGCCATTTCTTTACTGTCTCAGGGTCATGGCATTGTGTATTTCTGCTTTCTTCAGTGCTGGACTATGATGTAAGAACTTCACGTAGTAACTTATTTAATGCTCACAATTGTTCCTGTTTACAATGAGAATGCCGGGGCACAGAGTTGAAGTGACTTACGCAGCAGGATCTGAGCCCCGGCACTGGTTCCAGGTTCTCAAGTCTCCATCCTGCTGCCTCTGTGACAGTGACAGCCGCAATGGCTGAAGCAGCGGCACCTTGTCTGTGCCTTGCCTTTGTGGCCCTCAGACCAGCCTGCTTTCATGCTCATGATGACATTCCTGGAGGGAAGAGGTGGGAGGAATGGTGTGTGCATACTTTGCTGCAGGGCGTCCTGCAGTGTCCTGTAATCAAAGCATTTCTAGCGCTCTCTATTGATATGAAGGATTTGACCAGGCTTCACTGAGAAAATGTTCCCAAGTACCGCAGAGGGTAGGCCCAGAGGTGATGTTTCATCAAGGCTTGCTGGATTCCCACTGAAATCCTCCTTGATCTGAACCCATCCACACCTGTCAGAGTCCTGGGGAAGAAACTGCCCATCTGCATTGCGGTCTGGCAGTTCTGGGCCTGCTTCACTCACCGGCTGTCACTCTCAAGTCCTTGGGCCGGCTCTCTTGATCGCCTACTGTCCACGGGTGAATGGAAGGAACTTTATTTGCCTCAGAATGTGGTCAGTCCTCCTCCTCCCATGAAAGCTGGCAGCTGTCTCTCTAGTCACCAGTTGGCCTAACAGGATTCTTTTTCTGAGCACTGTTTTGTGATGTCCACGGGACTTAAAAGCTAAGAGCTGTGTATTGTTTCCCAATGTTGCACCCAGTGCTTCTTAGCTAGCTTATTATGGAGGCCTGTAGAAACTGTTTAAACACTGGTAGCCTTTCCAATAGGGAAACTAAAAATGGAACAGCTTTGTAACTTTGTAATCACATGGATTGATGAGGATTATGTGAGTTCTGAGAATGAGCCCTTTCCCCTCCTGGCCCACCTCCGACTCTGTGCCTCTCCCAGCTTCTACCTGCAGCACGGAAGGTGAATGGTCCTGAGACGCACGGCTGCAACGAGGCTTCACTCGGCCATTGACACTCGCGTGAAGCCTGTAGGGCCTCGTGGATTGAGTAGACTTCATTCACCCGGTGATTGGCTGGGTTAGTCTTTGCCTATGAGAACCCATGAGAAAACATGGTTTGTATCAGAATCGCCTTGACCTGCCTGGCAGCTCCTAGCCCAGTCCACTGTTCTGCCAGTTGCCTTTGGCATTTGTAGCCAAGTACAGTCTATTTTGTTTCCACTGTGTTCCATGAAAATGGGGCATCTTGACACGAATCTTATGTTGACCTGTGTTGTGGTTTCATTTGATTTAAATTGTAGCTAATGATACAAAACAGTCTGGAGCAAACAGCCTCCCAGGCTGAGACCTTAAACCACAATTTTTAGCCTAAGAACTTGTTTGCTGTTGTTGTAAACTCCCAGAGACAGCGATTGGAGCTGGATAATAGAAAAGTCTTGCCATAGAAGAGAACAAATACGTTGCTTTTTATAAAGCTTAAATGTCAAAATAGTTTCAGGCCACTGTAAGTAGTGGACTGGCACCGAGAAAGAGCTTCAGACTTCCCAGTCCTTCCCCCCTTCCTCCACCATCCTCCCTGCCTCTCTCCACCAGCAGATCAGCAGATGCACACCTGCACCCCGTCCACACTTCCCATTCACGTTTCCCCAACCATCAGCAGTGCCGCTTTCTCTCCCCTGGTCCCAAATGCTGTTTGTGCCTGTGTGCGGCGTTTAGTCCACGGGTCTCCTGGGTCTCCTTCCAAGTGGGACAGCCTTCTGTCTCCCCGCCTCATTGCTATGACTGTCTAAAGATTACAGGCCTTTCCTTCTGCAGCCCGAGCCTGCATCTGCAGGGCCAGGTGGTTCTCCTGGGCTGTGCGGATTCCTGGTGGCGCTGTATGGTATTTAGACACTAAGACCTGGTGCTTGGAGGGTTGTTGGCAAGGCTTCTAGACACTCTGGGCAGACTGAGTCAGGAAATCAACACGTGGAGGTGCATCTGCTCACCCTCCTGTTCACCCCTCTTCCCTCCCTTCCATTTCTGTGCTCACCCACTCACGCACCCACCT